CTCTTTTGTAGGTACTTGAGTGAAGTGGCCATTAAAAAAACACAACAGATGTTGAAAACCGTATGCTCCAAGAAACATTCAGTCGAAGAGGGTAAGAAATTTAAACACAATATTTAAAATGTGCATTTTAATTTATCCAAACTGATCTTATTTTTTACATGTGAATAAATAACAGAAGTATTTACTGACATCAAAAAAGGAATATTTCCAGAGGACAACAACAACAAAAAAGTAAGGACATTTTTAATTTCTCTAACAATTACTAAACATAGATACCTACCTATTATAGAACGACTAGCAACTCATTAATTTAATATTTAAATGCGTTTCAAATGGTAATAATTGTAATAATAATAACAATAATAATTATTATTGTTTTAGTGTTACTTTGCCTGTAATTTCAAAACTATGCAATTGGTAAGTACCTATTTATTATAATATTATGTTTTATGTGCATTGTATAAGTATACCTATATATTATAATAGGTAGGTCGTAGGTAGGTATAATATTAGGTATTATGACACAATTTTCTACTTTAAAATATTGGTTTAACGTGTCATCTCCAATAAGTCAATTTAAGATGTAATTTTCTGCATAACTTGATAAATGTATATAATATTAGATTATATTATTACTACGAAATAATAAAATGTATAGCTAGATAAATAAATTCAGTATTAGATACCAATAATAATAAAAATTGGTTTTTTTTATTTCTGAATGTGAAATAGTGGACAATTGTTGATGTTTGTAATATTCGGTAAAAGCTTGTGTTCAGTGTGTTTGTTATATTTAGCGTTATAATGGCTGCTGACTTTTATAAATTAATCGAATCGGAATCTAGTACAGTAAAATTTTTACAAACACATGGGTTATTAGTAGGGTTCGGGACTTATTGCACACAAATTATAGGAAATATGCATGCACATATGCACTTAAAATAACCTAAATATGCGAACAAATATGCAATTGAATATTTTTTTTAAAATTAAAAAATTTGTATTATTCATTTAAATTTAGACCTTCTTTTGTAATTAGTCATATTTTTGACTACAATAACACTATCAACATTATATTACTGAAGTGTATGTTCGATTTCATTTTCTTCGTCTTCTCCTACAATGAAAAAAAGGTTGGGTTTTTCTTTAATATATTAAATTATTATTAAATATAAAAACGATGAATTGTTCACTTGTAAAGTTTGACTGTACGCAATTAGACATTAGAACAGAGATATTGAACAACGCATGAAAGTAAAAAAAATAAAGTTAACCTTTAAAATAAATGTACTTAACATAAAAAAAAACTGCTTAAATATGCTGTAAATAACAATTAAACTGCCAAAATTTGTCAAATATGCATTTTGCTCAGAAAACGGCAAAATATGCAAAAATATGCAATTAAAATTTTTGTATTTCAATCCGTTATGACTTAAAACAAATTTAAATCTTACTTAGACTATTCTGCAGTCATTATTAAGCCATATGCAAATGCAACAAGTCCCGAACCCTAGTTATTAGTTATTACCTGACGACACCAATCCTCAAAAGTGTTCTAAATATGATGCAGTAACTAAAATATGTTGAAGGAAGAAATATTTAGCAAATGGAGAAGTTTGGGAATACAAGGTGCGTACAGAAAGGTTGTCAAATATTTCAATCAATGGGGAAAAATAATGTATTTTTTACTTTTACTGATTTAAACAATCATTGTCATTCAAACTCAAGTCACCGACAAATTTTGGAAATAGTGTTTTATTGGACTAACGACTTCCAATAAATGTTGTGTGTCGATTAACTGGTCTTTCTAAAGGAACAACAGTTATAATAGTTTATATAATAATATATTGCATACAAAAAAAAAATGATAACTACATAGGACAATACAGTGAGGTTACATGAACATAAATTCTGATTGCACCATCGTTCTTAACTCGATGAGCTACATAAGTTCCAAAAAAAAACTATATACCAGCTACTATATACAATATAGTTATAATTACCTGATATATTAACTGTTTTTGAAACCTCATTCCATGCTGCTGTTTTTGCCCGATCGTTGCTATATATACGATTTTAAATTATAATCGTACAAACATGGATATTTTTCAATTTCCTGTACTAGTTGAATACTCAAAATAGTGTCTTGCTATTATTAATTTATAATATATATAGTATAGGATAAGCATAAATTAATCATTAAAAATATTTTCACCGCACGGCGCACGCGCACTGCAAGAAAATACTGCCAATGACTGGTTTGAGCCTTTGAGGTTTCTGCGGCGCGAATGATGTGCGCCGCCAACGCGCCGCCGCCGCACTTCATCGGTGTGGGCATTCCCATAAGATAACATGTGTTCTATTTTTAATTCGGCACTGCGCGCGCCGCGCAGAGAGCCGCAAACTCGCCGCCGCCGCACTGCATTGGTGTGCGCCGGGCCTTGGAAAATGGAAGGATGTTGCACCCGCAGTGTCTCTCTGTCTTACAAATGTACAACATTGAACATAGCCAAAACTGTTATGTAACATAATATTATATGGCAAATCATTTTGTAAGGCTGGGCAAATTAATAATTTTTTTGAACTCGATAAGTTAATAGGTAGTTAACTTTGAAAAAAGTAAGTAGTTAATTAACTTGAAGTTTTAACTTAATTTTAAGGTCCAGCCTTGCCATTTTGTGCTTTAAACGATTTTGCACTTTTGAAAATAAAATTTTGGGAAATTATGATTTTAGTTTACATTTTACACATTATATTGTAACTTGAGCTTATGGTTAATATTGTTTTCTTATGATGCGATATATTTTAAAATAATATAATTATAACAGGCTTTATATGAAATTTCATAAGCATTAATTTGATACAAAAACTCATTTATTTCATATGACATCCACATTATCAAATACCAATTGTTAAAAGTCCATCAATTTAATTTTGCAGATAAAGTATTAGATAAATGTCAATTACGTTTACTCTACGTAATAATGTATTAACGTAATAAGTAATAACTCTACAAATATTATATATATTTATACATAGGTATATAATATTCTAAATTTCTACTGCACTGAGATAAAATTAGTTCCAATAATTTTCCCAAATCCTAACATTTACAGGTGAAATTAATTTAGTCAGTGACATACTTCCATATTGACGCCATTGAGTTCTTTTTAAAAAAAGTTTAACCTAACTTAACATAATTATTTTAAAAATAACTTAACTTAACGAATTAGAAAAAATCGGTAACTTGTTGAGCGTTGCAAAATTATTTGTAATATAATACTATGTTACAATAATATATATTTTGTTTTCGTAATGGCAACTTTGCATTTAAAATTATGCGGAATCGTGTATGTATTTATGAAATTTAAGGAATCGTATATGTATTTCAATAGCAATTAAAATCAACACGATTCCACAAATTTGTGGAGTCGTTCTCCACCTTTAAATTTTACCGATCATTTTTTTACCGTTTTAAAATTCGAGTGACCACTCACAATTGTTTTCATATGCACAACAACCGCTATAGTGACATCCATATCTCCACAATACATGATATAAATTGTATATCATGTATTGTGGAGATAACTAGTAATATACCTACTTATATTTATATCATGCACATGAGATCTTCCACTTCCAGCAAATAATTATTACTAAGACAATTTTTAACACCATAATCTCTGATTTACTTTAAAGTTTAAACAATATTTTTAGTCCAATATAACTAATATAAGTTGGAGGTGCTAAGCACCCCTGGCGCTGGCACCCCCATTTGTGCGACAATACATACTTAATATATATATAAATATAATACTTGTAGTAAGGAGTGGACGAGTGGTAAATTAGTTAAATGGTTAGCATAGTTATAAAAATATTATTGAGTTCGTATTAAATTTACTAAATAAAAATATTATAAAGTATTAAAAAAATTAAGTATATTTACGTACATTTACGTAAAATTTACCAAAAAACAATTTACCGTCAAATTCCCATCTCTATTCATAACTAAGAAAAGAAATTTTTACAACATAAAAAGGAGAACTTTGGCTATACAATATCGTTTTTATTTTTTCAATATCAGAACTTCAAAAAAAGTTATTAAAGATTGAAAAACACAAATAATAATGGATTTTGAAACAGTAAGAACTTTTTTCGTATAATTGATATCAAAAAATAAAACCGATATTGCACAGCCAAAGTTCTTCTTTTTATGTGGTGAAAATTTCGTTTCTTAGTTATAACTAACCTTCTTGGTTCTTTTCCGTGCCAAAATGTTTTTACTATGCCGTACAGAGATGACATATTATGTAGGTGCAACGTCCTCTTAAATCAGTAATTTATTAAGATAGATGCTAATGAGTAATGTTGTTAATCTATATAATATATAATAAAACGTGTCCTGACTGACTGATCCACTGATCAACGTAGTTTAAACCATGATAAATTTTCATGGTGACTTTGTACCACCATGTAGGGTGCACCAAGTAACTAAGTGAGGGTTTCCAAAATCTGCGAGATAAAATCATGCATCAAATTGTTGCGTTTTAATAAAATACATTTTTAACTATAATAATTTAAAAAATAAATACAAACGGACAATAAACAATGACGGATAAACTGTTTATACAAGACTACAAAATAAACTTACTCATAATACTTAACTGCCCAACTGGTATTCAATACAAGTTGAAAATAGAAAGATAATATATTTTTCCAATGACTGATAACAATATAGTGGAGTTAGCGATCAAACAAGATACCTTGCAATTCGCTCTATAAAAAAAAAATAGTGCAGTACACATATTACTAGTGGACCATAAATTATAAAAGTATTATTATACATTTTGTTTAGTTATAAAACTAGTTAAATGTGGGGGGCTCTATGATTAATTCAGAAAAATGTAAAAATATTAATACTGTGGTATTTTTATAACTATTTATACAGTTGTTCACAAAAACACATAAATTATGTTTTTAATATAAATTTATTAGAATAATTATACCTGTTCTTTCAACTGAGATTGTCTTCTTTTGTTTATATTTATAGAATTGTTAACACTATCCAGCTTTTGCCGTTTGTTTGAATTATTGCTTGGGTTCTGACTTGTCTTCTTTCTCCAAATTTGACTTGGAGTTTCAAACATAGTGGGCTTTTTTGGTTTTTTTGGTGTGGATGCAAATAATAATGGCGTATGTTCACAGAATCTACGATGTTTAATTTTATTATGTTTAATATTATTATGTTCAGTGTCACCATATTCAGACAATTTTCTTTTTATATTTGTTTTGTGATTTGCAAGCGTTATATTTTTACTGTAAATTGTTCCTTTTCTGGTCATACTTGCATCAAGATTCACAGCAGATTTTATTGGTTTGGCAATTTGTCCTCCAGGGGAACTCATTGAAAAATCAAACATATGTTTTGGTTTGTTTTCCACCCCAGTTAGTTGTTTCACAAAATGTCTCCATTGTCTTGGAATGCCATTGACAAATAAGCATGTTTGATATAGTTCGTTAGGTGATCCACTAATAATATTGCCAACCAAACGGTATAGTCCATTTTTGGTTTTGACTAAACTATTTTCTTTTCTGCCTTCTACAACGCCAGCTTCGTGACACTTTTCAACAACTGTCTGCTTATCTTCTCCCAACAAATTTCCTAAAATATAAATAATTTTGATTTTATTAAGAAAGAATAAAAACATCTATTAAAATAATATATTAAATTACCAGTTAAAACTAAAACATGTTTTGATAGTGATTGTTCTGATGATTTGATTAATTTCATATTTAAAGACCACACAGATAAGAATTTTTCAACATTTAATTGATTTTTATGATGTCGACTTGCATTACTCTTTTTTGAGGTCTCATTTTTATTTTCTGGTAATCCAACAATAATTTTAAATCCAACATTTTCAAGAAGCGATTCAATTGAATTATTATCATCATTTCTGTTTTCATTTTTATGTGATTCAGATACTGATTTATTCTCTTCAAATGTTACATCAGAATATGTATTTTCTTCAACAACCTCATTATGATTTTGGCTTACTTTTATAACTGTGGAACTTGTGGAAGGTGACTCGTGAGAAACACAGCTTGACTGTTCAATACGAGATAATGCCGCTTTAGGTTTAAGACAATCTAGTGGTTTAAATTTATTTGAAAGTACACTAGGTTTTATGCAATCAAAATTATTTTCTGGTAATCTCAACATGCTATGGTCACTGTTATCCATTGGCATTGTGGTTGGTGGTCTATAGTTAAAACTTGTAGATGGCCTGTAATTGAACCTTGCTGATGGCCTAGCGTAAAGTGGAACGATATGTGATGAATTGGTAATCCGAGAGACATTAGCACCAGCACGATACCCATCAATGATAATGTGGTTTACACGTTTTAAAAACATATTAAATTCAATATCAAATTTACGATAAGGATGCACCTTCAAAAAATCGTTCAATATACTGTGAAGTGCAATAGTTTTCTCTTCTATAATGTCTTGAAAAAGTAAAGTTTCAGATTGAGAAGGATAAACTGGAGGTGCCATAGGCATTTTAAATCTTGAATCAGTTGTACTTGTTTGGTTGCTCATCATGAATTGGTATAACTAAAAAAAAAAGGTGGGTAAGTTTATGTCGCTCTGCTGTACAGTAGGTTACAAGTGGGTCATTGTATAATGGATGCTTTTAAATTTGAATTCAATGATACAATATCATTGTATAAGAAAAACGATTCTGAGCGAAGACGGTATGTCAGTCTAGGTTTAAGACAAATTATATACATATCTATGGTATTAAAAAAAAAATTGACCTATAATAAATTCCAAATTAATCATATCACATTATCACAATATCCATTAGGTACTTATAACACGTTATACATCAACATCAATAACAAACCCTGATACTATCATAGATATATAATAGTACACTTTAGAAGTTTCAAGTAGGTACCCACGAATAATATTATATAATCACAACAAAATAACTAGGTTTTTTAATATGTAATTTCGTCCAAATTTGAACATAAAATGACTATAAAAATAAACTGTGATTGTATATTTTTTAGATTTTTCGGTAAGAAAATTAACTACTTACGTGGAATCTTGTTTTAAATTTTCAATCCTTAGCTATAAAAACTGAACATTTTATAATTTATTAATTACGATGATTAATAATTTTCGAGATTTTGAAAAATTCTATCAAAATTCGATGTTTAAATGCTTATAAAAAAAAATTGTGCCTACGTATTTTTAATATTTTTCAACTGATATTGTAACAATATGTCAGGAGCCTTGTATTAAATTTTTACACTTTTTGGCCCAACAGATAAAACTCTATTGATATTTATAGAAAAAAAAACTAAAAAAAATTGAAAGCTGTAAATGTCCGTAAACAGCTCAAAGAGTCAAAATATTTTCAAAATCGTATGGTGTATAGGAAATTCTAATATAAACATTCAGTGAAATTTTGATGTATCTACAGTTATTCGTTTTTGAATTACAACAAAATAAGGAAATCGCTACATGAGAAATCGAGTGAATAACCAATGTTGTGAAAATTTGAATTTCAAACGCTCATAAAAATTTAATTTAACTGTCCGGTAGAGATTTTTTTATTGATACAGGTAGACAAACTTATGAGTAATCTTGTATTACATTTTCTAATCTTAGATTTAAAAGGAAAAATTTTTACGAATTCTTAACTCAAAATAATTTGCTAATTTTCGTGATTTTTCCATATTTTGTCAATTTTTGAACTTTAAATGCTTATAAAAAAAATTGTGACTAAGGATTTTTAATATTTTTCATCTGCCTTTGAAACAATATATTAGGAGCCTTCTATTAAATTTTCAAGCTTTCGCAACCAACAAATAAAATTTTATTGATATTTCTAGAAAAAAAACTAAAAAAAAATGAAAAATGAAAATGTCCCTAAACTGTTCAAAATAAATCAAAATATTTTGAAAATGTTATCGTGTATAGAAGATGCAAATATAAACAACCAGTGAAAATTGCATGTACCTACGGTCATTTGTTTTAAAGTTACACCAAAAACCAAATTCAATTTTCTGAAAAATCGATTTTGCGTATAAATTCCCGTTTTTCCTTAATTTTTCTTTTGTTTTTCTTGGCGCTTTTGAAAAGTACTGGGAATTTTAAATTTTGACCTCCCCAATGCACCAACGATATTCACTTTCCAATCGAACAAGATACTGAAGTCGAAAATCGAAGCATTATTTCGACTACTTATCGTGTACACAGATACAAAAAAAATAAAAAAAATAATAATAAAGGTGGGTAAGTGGATGTCGCTCTGCTGTACAGTAGGTTACAAGTGGGTCACTGTATAATGGATGCTATTAAATTTGAATTCAATGATTCAATATCATTGTATAAGAAAAACGATTCTGAGCGAAGACGGTATATCAGTCTAGGTTTAAGACAAATTATATACAAATCTATGGTATTAAAAAAAAAATTGACCTAAAATAAATTCCAAATTAATCATATCACAATATCCATTAGGTACTTATAACACTTTATACACCAACAACAAACCCTGATACTATCATATATATATAATAGTACACTTTAGAAGTTTCAAGTAGGTACCCACGAATAATATTATATAATCACAACAAAATAACTAGGTTTTTTAATATGTAATTTCGTCCAAATTTGAACATAAAATGACTATAAAAGTAAACTGTGATTGTATATTTTTTAGATTTTTCGGTAAGAGAATTAACTACTTACGTGGAATCTTGTTTTAAATTTTCAATCCTTAGCTATAAAAACTGAACATTTTATAATTTATTAATTACGATGATTAATAATTTTCGAGATTTTGAAAAATTCTATCAAAATTCGATGTTAAAATGCTTATAAAAAAAAAATTGTGCCTATGTATTTTTAATATTTTTCAACTGATATTGTAACAATATATCAGGAGCCTTCTATTAAATTTTTACACTTTTTGGCCCAACAGATAAAACTTAATTGATATTTATAGAAAAAAAAAACTAAAAAAATTGAAAACTAAAAATGTCCGTAAACGGCTCAAGAAGTGTCAAAATATTTTCAAAATTGTAGGGTGTATAGGAAATGCTAATATAAACATTCAGTGAAATTTTCATGTATCTACAGTATTTCGTTTTTTAATTACAACAAAAAAAGGAAATTGCCACATGAGAAATCGAGTGAATATCCAATGTTGTAAAAATTTGAATTTCAAACGCTCATAAAAATTTAATTTGACTTTCCGGTAGAGATTTTTTTATTGATAAAGGTAGACAATCTTATGAGTAATCTTGTATTAGATTTTCAAATCTTAGATTTAAAAAGAAAAATTTTTACGAATTCTTAACTCAAAATAATTTGCTAATTTTCGTGATTTTTCCATATTTTGTCAATTTTTGAACTTTAAATGCTTATAAAAAAAAAATTGTTACTAAGGATTTTTAATATTTTTCATCTGCCTTTGAAACAACATATTAGGAGCCTTCTATTAAATTTTCAAGCTTTCGCAACCAACAAATAAAATTTTATTGAAATTTTTAGAAAAAAAACTAAAAAAAAATGGAAAATGAAAATGTCCCTAAACAGTTCAAAATAAATCAAAATATTTTGAAAATGTTATCGTGTATAGAAAATGCAAATATAAACAACCAGTGAAAATTTCATGTATATACGTTCATTTGTTTTAGAGTTACACCAATAACCAAAATCGATTTTTTGGAAAATCAATTTTGCGTAAAAATTCCCGTTTTTCCTTAATTTTTATGTTGTTTTTCCCGGCGCTTGTGAAAACTACTGTGAAATTTAAATTTTGACCTCCGAAATGCACCAACGATATTCACTTTCCAATCGAACAAGATACTGAAGTCGAAAATCGAAGCATTATTTCGACTACTTATCGTGTACACAGATACAAAAAAAATAAAAAAATAAAAAAATAAAAAAACACACATCATTGTAAAATCAATACATTCATCGTTTCACTCAGAATCTAAAAAAAAACACACATCATTGTAAAATCAATACATTCATCGTTTCACTCAGAATCTAAAACAGTTAATACATAAACGAATGAAGAATGAATTTTTAATTCGAATATTTGAATTAAATGATAAATAATTACACACAAAAAAACATATACGGTGACCGTAGTCACTACATGTTATACTTTAACTTTCCTCATATAGAAATAGGTATAGAATATAAAAAGGGGTGTTCAGTAAATTAGTGAAGTTCCCAAATACCCACAAATAGTGTAAGCTTATTAAAATTACAACAGTCATCAAAATAGTTATTCTTTGATTCAAATTTTTCTTCAAATAAAAATAAAAAGCTGGAAAACTGGATGCCAGTCTGGTCTCTGCTGTACAGTAGGTTACAAGTGGGTCACTGTAGATACCATGGATGGTAATGGTATTAACTTTGAGTTCAATAATATAATATCATTGTATACCTACGAAAAACGATTTTGAGCGGCGACGGTTGTCGGTTTGTCAGTGTGGATATTTTATATTATATTATTTATATTGTTATTAGTTATTACTTATTATTAAATATTAATACGGTGGACGGTAAGCTTAATTAATATAATACAATTTCAACAAAATAACGAAAATCGTTATTTTTGGTTATATAATATATAATTTCCTCCAAGTTTGAACATAAAATAACTATGAAAAAACTGTTTTTATATTTTTAATCTTTTTTGGTTACAGAATCACTTACTTACGTGGAACCTTGTTGTAAGTTTTCAATCCCTTAGTAATAAAAGTAGAACATTTTATACATTTTGAACTACAAAATCATTTTAAAATTTAAAGTTTGATAAATGTTATCGAAATTAAAACTTTAAATGCTTTTAAAAAAAAATTGTGCCTAAGTATTTTTAATATTTTTCAACTGCTATTTAAGAAATATATCAGGAGCCTTGTATTAGTTTTATTAAATGTTGATGCTTTTTGGCCCAACAAATACAATTTTATTGATATTTATAGAATAAAAAACTAAAAAAATTGGAAACTGAAAATGTCAGTAATCATCTCAAAATTAGTCAAAATATGTAATATGGTGTATAGAAAATAATATAAACATTCAGTCAAAATTGCATGTATCTACGGTCATTTGTTTTAGATTTACACCAAAAACCAAAATCGATTTGGTCTAAAATCGATTTTCGTAAAAATTCCTGTTTTTCCTTAATTTTTATTTTGTTTTTCACTGAAAACCACTATGAAATTTTTACTTTTGACCCCCCCCAAAGTACCAACTAGATTCACTTTCCTATTAAATAAGATACTGCTGAAGAAAATCTAAGCATTCCCTAAGCACATTCTATCTATTCTGTGCTTTTACTGTCCTAAGAAGCGAAAAAGAGTTTAAAAATTAAAAAAAAACTCATCATTGTAAAATCAATACATTCATCGCTCCGAATCTAAAATTTGTGCTTTACCTATATTTTTTTAGTTACTTCTAAGGTATTCAAAATATTGCTAAAAAATATCATAATAAAAATTTAATAGTTATTGTACAGAAATATTTTGGGCTATCCCTCTTAAAATGTTTTAAATAAATCA